AAATTGCTTCTTTGAAAAAGGCTAATTTGTCCACAGTGAATTTAATACCAACCCATTGCTATAAAAAACACATTTTCAGGATCCACTTGTTCTAGGATACACACACAAACATGTGATGTTGTTAATGTAGGCATGGCCGAATGTGAGTTCAGTGCATGCAAGCACACATGAGAAAGGGAGAGTGAAATGAAAACTTGGTCATGTATAAAGCAATATTCAGTTGCCAAGGAGACAATCCCCCTCTTGCATGCATCCCTTCTCATCTATCCATCCATCCTGCCCCACCTGAGTCACGATACAAATGGGGGATGAATATTTAAAATGCACTGATTAAGTGCTTTATTGATGAGACGAACACACTTTCATGTGTCTTATTCCATTTTACTCACACAGCGTCATTATATGTTTCATGTCTATAAAACCTCCTACCTTGCTCACAAACATATGCATGGTTCTCCTCGCGGTCGCTTCCTTCTTGACTGTATCATCTATTATCAGAAGGTGAAGGTGTCCAGACCAATTAAGCTGCCTGCTTTAATGCTGCATAGCCACAGTGTTGGAAGGACAATTATTTCCCTGTTGTCTGTCTCTCCTGAGTGTGTTTATACTGTACGTTGTATGTTTGTGTGTAGGAGTGGTGGGTTTGCAAGCATCTGCACTATGTGTGTGTCTATCAGCACATATGTATGTTAAGTGGGGTTGGCAGTTTCTATGTATAGCTCTTAATGGTTTTGCACAATTGGTCCTTAGTCTGTGTTTTACTCTTTGGCTAACCTTGGACTTTAGTTATGACATCCCCTATTTCAAATGATAAAACACTGAAACACATAAAGACTTCAGTCTGCTTTAGTGTTGGAATATAAATTATTGCTATTAAACCACCTCATGTAAACTTAAGTGAAAGTTTGACGGGATAAACTCCACTGGATAAAATCCCGTAATTGCAATGTACTATGTAACTTGATTTCAATCCTTTCAGAATCCTTTTTTATGAAAAGTAACATGTTTTCACTGAATGTAACTAAGGGAAACATCTGAACATAAACAGTGTTGTGAGTATAATCACATACACACACAAACACAAATACACACAGACACCCCCCCCCACACACACACACACACCTCTTTAAACATCTGCTTGGTAGCTCATGAAGATATTTCTTTTAAACGGATAATTATATATTTTTTCTGATCATTATTGCGTGTTGCTTTCCTTAACTTACACACATGTTGTGTTGATGGCCATGCTCTTGTTTAATTACAACTCTTAATATACTGAATAATACTAGTTTTTGGTTAGACATGACCAACCTGCTGTTTCTACCATGAGGTGCATTGGGAACGGTTGCTGGATATCCGAATTTTTTTTTAAGACAAATATTTAACCATTCACACTTTTTGCGCCCCATATCCAAACACTTAGGATAATTACATCGTACTGTAAACTAAGTATGTTTGTGTTTGTGCAGCAGTTTAAAAGTTTTGTCTAAGATACTCGTTAACATGCAAATACAATAAAATCTGCACCATCCAAGGATCCCTAAAATATACTGTAAGCCCACTGTTTCCGACTTAATTTCCCCTTTAATGGTGAAAGAAACATGGTGTTGCAGAGGCATAGTTAATGAAGAGCAAATGCAGCCCCTAGCGAAGGCCTTCAGCCCACATTCATCATGGATACAATTTCCCCCATGCACGTACAGAGAGTATCTGGAATCATTACAACACAACTAGCAGGCATCCCCTGCTCATAAATAAGCCTGTTAATTGACCTGTCATAGCTAATTGCTGCAGGGGATAGGAGACTAGTTTGTGTTTGTGTGGGTGTTTGTGTGTGTGTGTGTGTGTGTGTGTGTGTGTGTGTGTGTGTGTGTGTGTGTGTGTGTGTGTGTGTGTGTGTGTGTGTGTGAGTATGTGTGTGTGTGTGTGTGTGTGTGAGTGTGTGTGTGTGTGTGTGTGTGTGTCTGTGTTTAAAAAAGAGTTGTCTGTATGTGTGCATTTTTGTGGATGTGACTCAGTGTGTGTGTATGTAAATGTGTTTGTGTGTAAAATCTTATACACAGATATATGGACAGAAGAGGTGTGTGTTTCGGGGTGATTGTATGAACAGTTGAGGACTCTCTTTGCTGGGTTTGTTGATTTTAGAGCCATTAGTAATCAGCCTTGAGACAGGGACTATTTGAGGCAAACCAGCGCAAGTATCGACCCAAATGGTCAGCCTGTCCCACCACAGGGCAAGAGAGAAAGATACGCAGAGATAAAGAGACCAAACAGAAAAAAAGAGAGATATTGAGAAACACACACCGGAGGATAGAGGCACGCAAAACCAAACCCATCATCATTTTTTGCCCACACTTTTTTCCCCCTCTCTGATGGGTTGTAAACTTGCTGAGGCACACACATATAAACACACAATTACAAAGAGACATGGTGAGTTTGAAAAAAAAGGTGGGAAATGAGTGAGAGGAAGCATAGTTTACAGTCAGAAAGAAAGACTGAGTCATAAAGTTTACTCGGCCACATCCCAACAGGAGAGAGCTTACTGCAAATGCAGCTGCCATAGAGCCAGAGGGACTTCAATGATGTGTCAACAGACAGTGCTCAAACACAGGCGCTGGCTCTGTTATGTCTCCCAGTCCATTTTCTCCCACAATTGACTGAAACTGTATAGTGGACTTAAACCTCTGATAAACTTGCATGTAAATATTATAGTTCAGGAAGGTTTTATCCCACAAATTTGATAAGAATTTAGATAGGAGACCTGGTTCATATCGGTTTGTAAATACTTAAAACCTAGAAGCAACTTCAGTAAGTAAATATTCTTGTATCAGCAAATTAAACATGGCAGTCTAGGAATGGGCGCAGGTGTAAGCTCTTTGTATTGTAATATAAATATTATTGCAGTACATTGGTTCCCATGATGCACCTGTGCATTCAGACTGAAATCATAGAAAAATGCAAGGAATGTCAAATCTGAAAATGGACTCTTGTAAAATGACCTACACTCCGCAAAAATACTATATGCACTGATCTGACTGTCTCTATGCTAATAGGGATTCTGATACTGACTCAGGGTATTGGTCGATTCAGAGTACCGATGATACCTTTGCTCTCTTTCCCTCTTCACTTTAAAACTCAATATCTCTCAAAGTGGAAACGACATGGATCATTGCTGATGTTGTCACTTGATGCTGTAATTACACTTCTAGTCTTGTTATGCAATCGAACACCCTGTTTGAGCTTGGAAACTTTCACATCTCTAAGAAAATGGTAAACATAACAATGTTAGGGCTTTTGAAATTGTGTTGTTTCAATTTGTAATGACTTGAAGTAGAAAAGTACATTTAATTTGGCTTACCTGATTTATTTACACATTTGTATTTGTCATATTCTTTTTGATGTGTATCTACAGATGCCAATGGGTCTAATCGGTGTGAAACCTTGTTCTCCACCCTGAGATCAGCACATTCTTGTAGAAGCGAATAATCCTCTGGTTATATGGATAGGCTTGGTGCTGAATGTTCAGTCAAAGGCCCTAATTTATCAATACCTCCCTCAGTACTAAAATGTCAAAATATTGTACCAACATTTATTTAATAAAAGAAAAAAGCACCCAAGACTCTCATTTAAAAGACTGGGTTTGATTTATATTCTTCATATTTTACATTGACTTCATTGGTTATATTATTGTCATACATTTGTGTGGCTTGATATATAAGAATGTGATACTATTGATTCCAGTGGGCAAACTCTCTCATTGCTTCCTTCCTGAGACTCAGATGCCTGCCAACAGAGAGCTTGAGTTCTTGATCTAACCTTTCCACCACTCCGATGTGAACAACTTAAATGTATTACTTTATGCCTCAACCAAGAAAAGAAAAAAATATATATTTTATATATCTGGTAACTCTGACATTACTGTATAGTCAATAGCTCAGGGGTCTTAAAATAAAGTCTGAATTTGATGCTGGTTCTTTGGAACTTTAAATGTCATGTGGAGAGACAGTTTCTTCTAAAACATTTATAAAAATTCAAGCAAAGTTTTAAATTCTTTTACAATTCCCTTGATTCTCAAAAGCCACCAGAGTATAAACCCTGATATATCTGGGCTGCAGTGGAGGCGTTGGGGAAAGACACAAAGGAAATGTTTCAGATGTGAGAGAGGATTACAGGGAACAAAAAAGTGTGTTATTCCATTTTTCTTTCTTATTTTACTTGGAGCAAGTCTTAGCAGACCTGACAATGCTGTCTCCACGTGGTAGAAATGTACTGTCAAGAGGCGAGAGCTGGAGGGTTATTCTAATTCAGCGGGTGAGGTCTTTCAACATCTAGCAAACAGTACTCGACTCTCAAAAGTTGACCAGGTCATCCCTTTAAGCATATCTCAGCAGCGTGGGTGCAAGTGTGGAGAGAGCGTTACAGCTGTAAGAAACCTCTTATAGTAGGTAACCGTCCCTATGCTGTTCTACGCATTTTTTTAATGACAGACTTATTCCTCAATGTTATGAAAATATCACTCGTCACCGGCTTGAGCTTCAATATCAGGATACATGTATTTATTATCCTGTATTTATTAGTCATCACACACAGAGCTGCATGGGACAAATAGTTCCCAGAACAGTGTCCTTCCCATGCTTATATACAAGAGAGGGTGTTATTCAGTCAGATGCAGAATACCGGTTCAAAGCAGTATTCTGTGCTTAGTTCAGTGCTTACTAAGGCCCACGTAAGCAAAACACACGACAGTCATATGTCTATCTCCATAGAGGCTGAATCATCATGTTAATCATTGTCACATAGATCATATGCCTAAAACAGTGTGTCCTGACGCTCTTCTAGGTAATCATACATCCTGTCATGCGCTACTCTGATATTGGAAGAGCACATTCAGTATTTTCCCAAAACTTAAGCATTATACTGCTCCATTATACTGCCAAGTACAAGACATGTCTTTACTGCCATATTGTTGTTGGGAAGAAAAGCAATCGCCAAGCTTTTACCTGAAAGGGTCCACTGGGGCTGATGTCAAAGAATGCTCTCCTCCAGTCCGGGCCCTGGTGACCAGACTTCGACCAGGCCACCGAGTCCACAGAGGCAATGCTTCTCACTCTCAGAAGCACATTGAGGGAGCCTGTGAAAGATAACCACACATGCATGCATAGGCACACACAGCCACACACACAGAGTACAGATCATTAGAAACTGTAGTGAACTGTCAATGAGCTAATAATTCTGAGCTGCTGTATGTTAAACTGCTTCACGTTTTAAGATTATTGAAATCCAAACGACAAAACATTTGCATATATTGACCCACATTTAATGACTTATTTCGACGGACTTCAACACATATTTTTATCTTTTAATTCAGAAAGAAACACATGTTGAATTACATAATAAACAGTGGACACATTAATGAAATACATGTATGTTGATCTGAGCCATGTAATCAGTTCAGATGCTTCAATCCCAATTATATATACCTATTATATACTGTACACCTATTAATCAGCTTTATTCAGATAAGTATGCAACTCATGATAGATCTTACCGTACGTAATGTTACACTCGCGAGAGAAACAGAAGATATTTGATTGTACTTTCATCTCAGTGAAACTACACCATGTCTTAGCCCTGCCACAATTTACTGTACAAGCGGCTAGCTCTTTTCTTTCTCTGTCATTCGCATAAATCTACCCAACCCAAATAGCCCAAGCTGATGTCAAATTTTCAACATTAAATGTCAGATAGAGAATTAAGGATTTTATTCAGAAAATCCAGGGGACCAAGCTCCAAGCAGCACATACTCTGCTAGAATTGCATTTGAGCACTACATATTTCAAATTGCATTTACTTTTATGGTCAGAATCAAGGCTGTGCCGTGGACGTGATGTCATTTATTATAGCAAACGGTAACAAGTGCACTGCATGTGGTAGAGTGAGGCTTTAAGGTCAGATACTATGTGGATGACATTTAGGTGGAAATGAAATGTGGATGAGTACTGATATGTCTCGAACTCTCCATTGACAGTCCAGTGGATAGTTTTATTTGTACAATAGAGCAAAAGGACAGCCGCCAGTAGGAAGGAAGAGAGGAAGTCAGAGAGAGAAAATTATGAAAAGGAGATGTGGCTCATTTTGTTTAATCTTTTGTTAGTTTATATTAGACACATCACTGTCACAGGATGTTTGGTAAATCCTTAATTTATTTTTGTACTGTCGACACATGATATAAAAATCAATTGTCTTGAGTCCTGGAAACAATTTAGAGAGAGTGGCACCATTCGAGGCATAAGGACGTGATCCAATAGTCTCCCTCTCTCTCTTTTTTTCTCTCTTGGGTCTGTAAGGTGTGAGAGAGCAATTCATCTTCTTAACGATCCTCAGCCAGCTCCTAATTGGAACATTAACCAACCACCAGTCTCTTAAACAAACACGCAGACAGGGGGAACCGTATTGGTGTATTATATAGTGTGTGTGTTATCTAATGTACATGTGTGTGTGTGTGCACATAAAGATGAGTATGTTCATGTGGCTGTATGCTTGCGTGTGAACACAAATGTTTGTAATTAATTTGTGTGTATGGATATCTTTCAGCTAATGATCTTCAAACCTTCTTATAAGCAGTAGGCTGGTGGTAATTAGCTTCCTACTCTGTCACAACAGATGCGTGACTAAGGGAAGTGGGCTGTTTATTGAATAACATGTTGGGGGTATCTGTGTGCGTGGTATAGAGAGACTATCAGTCAATTGTGTTAAAAACACCCAATTAAATTAACTTTTGATCAAATTTAAATCTGCAAATAAAAAAACTTGACTTTTCCAGTTTCCAAACAGTACTGTATGCACCTTGATATGATGAAACATGACTGAAATGTATTAATACAAATATGTTTTATGATCTATATCTGATGTCCTATTTGTCAAACTCAATGGATTTCAGTCTACTCATGGTCTTTCTATAATTCATTGTAGGAAATACACTCATCCAATTATTTTCTTTAGGATAATAAGATCAATTTCCCATGTCTGTGTGTTCAATATGAACCTGAAGCTAGACAAACAAGATGTTATTAAAACTACTTTTATAGATTATAGAAAATAATGGCTTTATTTTCATTGCCCCCATTGTGTAATGACGAATGCTGTGAGGCTTTTGAAACAGTTAATGTAACATATGACACATGAACGCAAGCTCACCTTCCATAGTAATTAAAAAGAAAAATTAAAAGGTAACAGTTACATTGGCACATCAAGAAATATAATCGGTATATCAAAAAACGTAGAACTCAATGGCATTTCAAGTATTGCATATTTAGTTACAGCGATTGTGGAGTTCAGTTCAGTGATGGCTGTGGGGTAAAAAGCTGTTTTGGAGCCTGTAAGTGTGGGTCCTTGTTGCCCTGTAGCGTCTTGCAGATGGCAACAGAGAGAAGAGATGGTGGTGGGGTTACTTGCATCCCTCACAATGCTGCTGGCTCTGTGGAGGCAGCGTGATCTGAATAAGTCTTCCAGTGAGGGCAGGGGAAGTCAGATTTTACCATGCTATGTTAAAGTCTCCGAGAGCTCTTTTGTCTACCACTGAACAGTTGGTATACCATACTGTAATAAAGTAGATCATTACACTTTATATGGTGGTGATGGTGATTCAACTTATTGTCATTACGTAGTACAGGTAGGTAAGGCAAGGCAAGGCAAGGCAAGGCAAGTTTATTTATATAGCACTTTTCAACACAAGGCAATTCAAAGTGCTTTACAAAAAATGAAAGAGATTAAGAAAATGGCATTTAAAATCAGTCATTAAAAAGAAAAGCTAATAAAATAAACATTAAAAGAAAAAATACATGGATAAAAGTTACAGTGCTGTCAATTAAACATTAAAAGAAAAAAGTACATGGATAAAAGTTACAGTGCAGTCTAAGATATGAATAGTTCAATTAAAAGCAGCGACAAAAAGAAAAGTCTTCAGCCTGGATTTAAAAGTAGTCAGAGTTGTAGCGGACCTGCAGGTTTCTGGGAGTTTGTTCCAGATATTTGGAGCATAATAACTGAACGCTGCTTTACCATGTTTAGTTCTGACTCTGGGGACAGAAAGCTGACCAGTCCCTGAAGACCTGAGAGATCTGGATGGTTCATAATTTAGCAGGAGGTCAGAAATGTATTTTGGGCCTAAACCATTCAGTGCTTTATAAACCAGCAGCAGTATTTTGAAATCTATTCTTTGACACACAGGAAGCCAGTGTAAAGACTTCAGAACTGGAGTGATGTGATCCACTTTCTTAGTGTTAGTGAGGACTCGAGCAGCAGCGTTCTGAATTAGTTGCAGCTTCCTAATAGATTTTTTAGTGAGACCTGTGAAGACACCATTGCAGTAGTCGAGTCTACTGAAGATAAAAGCATGGACAAGTTTTTCCAAATCCTGCTGTGACATTAGTCTTTTAATCCTAGATATGTTCTTTAGGTGATAGTAGGCTGATTTAGTAACAGTTTTAATGTGACTGTTGAAACTCAGGTCAGAGTCCATGACTACACCTAGATTTCTGGTTTTATCTGTTGTTTTGAACATTGCACACTGAAGCTCAGCGCTAACTTGTATACGTTCTGCCTTGGCTCCAAAAACCATTACCTCAGTTTTATCTTTGTTTAATTGGAGAAAGTTCTGACACATCCAGTCATTGACTTGTTCAATGCACTTACTCAGTGTTTGAATTGGAGCATAGTCTCCTGGTGAAATTGTTACGTAAATTTGTGTGTCATCTGCATAGCTATGGTAACTTATTTTGTTGTTCTTCATTATCTGAGCCAGTGGTAGCATGTAGATGTTAAAGAGAAGAGGCCCCAAGATGGAGCCTTGAGGAACCCCACATGTCATATTTGTCAACTCAGATGTGTATTTACCTATAGAAACAAAGTTGTTTCTGTCCTTTAAGTAGGATTCAAACCAATTTAGAACTGTTTCCGAAAGTCCCACCCAGTTCTCCAGTCGGTCTAGTAATATGCTGTGGTCAACAGTGTCAAACGCAGCACTGAGATCTAATAATACTAACACTGAAGTTCTGCCACTGTCTGTGTTTAAGTGGATGTCATTAAAGACCTTTACAAGAGCAGTCTCAGTGCTGTGGTTTGGACGAAAGCCTGACTGGAACACATCAAAACAGTTATTTAAATGCAAGAAATTACTCAACTGTTGAAAAACAACTTTTTCAATGATTTTACCTAGAAATGGCAGGTTTGATATGGGCCTGTAATTGTTCATTACTGAAGCATCTAGATTATTCTTTTTTAAGAGCGGCTTAATGACTGTAGTTTTCAGGGCCTGTGGAAAAATACCTGAGTGAAGAGATTTGTTTACTATATGAAGTAGATCTGAGGCCATGCAAGGCAAAACATCTTTGAAAAATCCTGTTGGAATAATATCAAGGCAGCAAGAGGAGGATTTCAGAAGTTGAATAATGTCCTCTAGGTTTTTATCATTAATCTGATGGAATTGTGTCATGATGTCTGAATTGATGTTAAGTGGAGATAGGGACAACACATTTGCTGTTCCTGATGCAGAGGCACTGACTGCTTGTCTGATTTTCTGAATTTTGTCAGTGAAAAAGGAGGCAAAATCATTGCACGCCCTGGTGGATAGAAATTCAGAGGCTACTGACACTGGGGGGTTAGTTAGTCTGTCGACGGTAGCAAACAAGGCACGTGCGTTGTTTTTGTTTTTGGTAATGATGTCAGAGAAGAACGATTGTCGTGCGTTTTTCAATTCCAAATTATAAAGGCCAAGTCTCTCTTTATAGATTTCAAAGTGAACCTGGAGATTTGTTTTTCGCCACCTGCGTTCAGCTTTTCGACATTCTCTTTTTTCTGTTTTCACGCTCATGGCCTTTCTCCATGGAGATATTTTCTTGCCAGACACTTCCTTTACCTTAGTTGGAGCAATGGCATCTATAACATTTTTAATTTTTGAATTAAAATGATCTACTAGCTCATTTACTGAGATGTTGGCAGGGGCAAGTGTGGAAGAGAAATTCTGAGTAAACATTTCCCTAGTATTTTCAGTTAAATATCGCTTTGTGGTTACCTCTTTTTGAACATTTTTGTGAACAGAAATAGAGCTCTCAAAGAAAACACAGGAATGGT